GAGACAGACAGAGAGGAGAGAGAGACAGACAGAGAGGAGAGAGAGACCAGACAGAGACAGAAAGGAGAGAGAGAGACAGAGTGACAGGGAAAGAGACAGAGAGAGAGAGAGAGAGAGAGAGAGAGAGAGAGAGGAAGAGAGAGAGATGGGGGGAGGAAAGAGAGGAGAGAGACAGAGAAAGGGAGGGAGAGAGAACCAACTATATTTAAGGCAATAGTTCACACTTTATAATAACGAGGCAGAGAAATTAGTGGTCAATAAATTGATGACTTACTTGAACCTCTCTGGGATAGCCTTTCTTCATCTGTAAAATGAGTGGGTTGAATTAGCTTCTTGGTCTAAGAACCCTTTTACTCCCTTAAAAATTGTTGAGCCCCCCGCAAAGAACTTTATGTGGGTTATATGTACCATATTAAAAATTAAAATGTCTCACTATTGTTATGAAAATTGTTTTGATCTAGTGGGCCCTGAAAGTGGGCTTGAGAAGCTCCAGATTAAAGGAATCTCAAAGGCCCCTTCTATCACCAAGACTTGGTCATTCCTCTGATGAAATGTGCCCGAGCTACAATCAAGAATAGGCACATTCTGCTGGAGCGTAGCTTGAGCAAGATGGCTGACATCACAGGGCTGTGTCTAATTTAGCGTTCCAAGAACAAGGTTTATTTTAACTTTCTTTTAATTCTTATTGATGGCATTGGTTTCGATGCCACCTTCATCTCCCAAGATGTCCCTCTTTCCTAGCCAGAGAGCTTTATCTTATAAGAAAGAATAAAAAAAAATCATCTCAGCAAAAATAACCAATCCAGTCACCCAGTACACCAGTATGTGTAGTACTCCACGTCCATGGCCCCCCACCTCTACAAAAAGGAAGGGACATGCATTCCCTTCTCTCTTTTGTAGATCCAAGCAGAGTCATTATAATTATCCACTATTCTGTTTTGACTTCTGTCGCTATTCTTTCCATTTCTATTGTTGGCTTCCCGCTGACTATTTTCCCCTCGTTTTGATTACTTCACTCTGGTATTTATATAAATTGCCTTGACGGTTGTCATTAAATTTGCATCTACTCTATAAGAATCATATTCAGACAGCACCAAGGGCTTAGAGAGCAGCTCTTTCTGTGGTTTCTCTCACTGCCTGGTCCGTGATGCCCCCTCCATTGATTTCCCTGCCCGCTAGGCTCTCCAGGATGTTGCGGGCTCAAGAAGTTGTCTTTCTGTCAAGTCTAACAGGTTGCATAATCTAAGTGGAAATGAAACTCGCCATAACCTCCAGAAGGACCTTGAATGGCCCACCAACACTTGAGGGATGGGTACTTCCTCCATTCCTTGTCTCCCTTGACTCCATAACTTCCTTGCTTACCCTTCTGACTGGTCACTGAGTGAAGCTTTACCC